TTTTTTAGTATCAATTTTCCTTTTTGAACCGTTATTTTTTTTTCTTTTTTTTTAACAAAAAAACACTTATTTTATTTAATATAATTTTTAAAAAAAAATCTTATTTTTTTAAACTTAAATACTTGAACTTGTAAGAATTTATTAAATATACTTTTTTTTATTTGTAAATTCTAATTTTTATATTTATTTAATATCTTTATTTATAAATATTAATATAGAGATTTCATGACAAAATTTGAGTAGTTTGGTCAAAGTCAATTACCTTTTATCTCTAAATAAAAGTTCTTCAGCAAGTTCAATACTATTTATATCTAATATTTTTTATTTATTAGATTAATATTCGTGTTGAAATAATTTTTTTTTGTAACTTTACTAAATAAGTCATACTTTTTTAAATTCATAAGAAAATTTGAGCACTTTGGTCAAAGTCAATCACAATTTATTTCTAAGTAAAAGTTATTTAACAGATATGATACTATTTGTATATAAATTTTAATTTTAATTGGATTAATATTCGTGTTGTAATATGTATTTTTGTAACTTTATTAATAGCACGAACCTTTTTTTTAATTTTACAAGATAATTTGAGCACTTTGGTCAAAGTCATTCACCTTTATTTCTAAGTAAAAGTTATTTAGCAGGTTTGATACTATTTATATCTAATTTTTTTTATATTGACTTGATTAATATTCATGTAAAAATAATTTTTTTGTAATATTACTAAATAAGTCACACTTTTTTAACTTCATAAGGAAAATTGAGCATTTTAGTCAAAGTTAATTACTTTTTATTTATAAGTAAAAGTTGTTTAACAGATATGATACTATTTATATATAAAATTTAATCTCAATTGGATTAATATTCGTGTAATAATATATGTTTTTATAACTTTATTAATGGCATGAACCTTTTTTTTTTAACTTCACAAGATAATTTAAGCATATTAGTTAAAGTAAACTACTTATTATACATTAAATAAAAATGTTTTATATATCTGAACTACTTACTTATAAATTTTAATCTTGAGTAGTTTAATATTCATTGAGTAATAGCTTTTCGTAACTGTATTAATTCTCAATTTTTTTGTTTTTTTTAAATATTTATTTATATAATTTATTAAATACTGTATCAATATAAATATATATCATAAAATTACCACACTTTATAAAAAAAAGTATCAAATAAAAGTATTTAAAAGTTATAATTTTGTTTTATTATAATTAATTTTCTTTAAATAAATTTAAAAAAATTTTTTTTTATTAATTTTTATTGTATTTTTAAGATTACATTTGATTTATCATATGATGTTATCAAATTATATTAACTGAGTTTATTTATTGGGATGTACTAAATAATACATAGCACTAAATTTATTAATTTTAAAAGCTTTTAAATACCATAAGAGGATACTAATTTAAGCATAAAAAGTATTTTTTAAAATTAAGTAATATTAAGTAATCTTAACCTTCTCTATTGAGAAGTTTGATTAAAAACACTCATATTAGGATTATATCTATTACCATTGGCTATAAATTTGAAAATAAATATTTAGTTATCCACAAAATAAAAATATTATGAACTACTAATAAGAAATAATAAACCATATCCTAAATATAAACCTCTTTACTACTCACATTTAAATAATCATGAAAATTGATCATATCATAATTTCTAGATCTGTTTTAATGTTAATTCATCATTTTTGAAAATGCTTAAAATGATCATTTACAAAAGGAATGTTTGACCAAAGTATCTTCAATATTTAATTTAATTCTTTTTTTCTGATTGTACATATTTAGAAATATTATTATTTTAATATTTACAAGTGATGTGAGATACAAAGTATTATACAAAAATTTAAAACTAGTGAATTGATAATACTTTAAAAATTTTCAAAAATTCGTTATAAAAAGCATTAAAAAATTTTTAATAAAAAAAAATTATTTTACAATGCTCAACATAGGGAGAAACAACTCAACAAAATAGAATTACTTTTAGAGTTGATTAATCATTATTAATCATTTCTCAGGTTTGATTCTAAGATTTACTTATTGCACTTGATTTGTTTGAATATGGAAAAATTCATTACTAAGAATTTTATTTTTATTTTTTGATTTTATAGTTTTTGGCTTCAGGGCTCAATTGATCGATGATTCGATTTCTCTTTTTCAACATCTTAAGCCCTTTATTATTATTTTTTTAGGTAATTTCTTTTATTTTGGATTGCTTCAACTTGTATTGATAATTTTGATAATACAAGGGGCTATTAGAAGAAAGAATACTGGCTAGTTTAACATATAATTTCTAAATAATCCCCTTTGAGTTTGAGATATTTTTCATAATTATTAATGACTATTGACAGCTAATGTTTAGTCCGTTAAGGAAATATGAGAACTTGTTCCAAACCGAACCCGACCTAGCATTTAATTAATTTATGTTAATTGGCGATGCAATAACATATTTGAATGTAAAAATTTTTTTGAAAAATCACATGATTATTTGTTGTTTGTAATTAAACATTCAAGTTGAGGTTACCAGTTTTGTAGTCATATTTCCCAAATTTTACATATAACAAATTTGAATTCAAACAATTCAATATTGTTCAGTTACCGCATATCTTTTATCTCTCGTTATCATGATTTACTTAACATTTTAGAGCCTGAATCATTGTTTGAAGCATTATTGATTTTATTGATTTTTAAAAAGCCATGGTTTGGAGCGGACTACTTTATCGTTTATGTAATTATGACATCAAAGTGAAAACAAATTATGACCAAATTTTTTCCTAAAATATGCACAGCATTCATATTATAATGCAACCGATAATCAATCCAATATATAAGAATGATTGTAAACCTCTCGTCACATATTCATCTCGAGTTCCTATAAATCGAAGAAAGAAAAAATGAAGAAATGGGCTATTGTATGATAAAAGTAATCAAATAGCCAATTTAATATTTTATGTTGAGAAATTGTATTCTTTCTCACATATCGGTCACTAAAAACCGATATAACTGAAGCTAGTAAAATACGTTAAAAAAATATTCATTATATTTATCCAATAAACAAAATACAAGAATACAAGAAATGATTCCTCTAATGATTATTTAAAATAAATCACGATTTTACAATTTAATCAACGGTTAAATTTTAATTAAACTTAATTTTTTGACAGAATTATAAAAAAATTCCGGGTTGTTACTTTGAACCCGGACCCGGCCCGTTGCGGGAAAAACCCTTTGATTTCGACGGAATGATCGAAACTATAAATAATGCCGAAATCGAAAAATAAGGTTTCGACTTTTGCCATGAGTTTTCTTCGCAATTATATTTCTTAAAATCTTAGATCGGAGGTAATTTCTTTAAAAGAAAGTGTAAAAATTATTTTTTTTCTTTTTTAAAAAAAAAAAAAAAACTGAAATAGTGCTTCTTACCTTTATAGACTGGTACAGAGCCTTAAAATTTGAAGTAAATTAATCGGTGTATTATTTTTTTTTTATTAAGGTTTATATAAGACCGCAGTTCTAGGACTGCATGTTCCAGCAAGCACCAATGTTCTGTAAATAGGACTGCAGTCCTATAATGCAAAGGATTTGAACTGGACCAAACTTTTATAGGACCTGGTACTATGAAACTTTTTAACATTCTAATGGCATTTTTTTTGAAATCTCTTAGAGGATCACAAATATTTTTGCGAAATCTCTTAGAGAATCGCAAAATCTTAATAATTCTTAATTATGAATCGCGTGATTTCATTATATATTGTCTTTGTTCATTTTTAATAAACTAGTAAAATAAGTTGATGAATTAAAATAGCTAATTATTTTTTAACAGCTTTAGTGAAGTTTGCTGATAAATATCTGACTCTTTAAAGATTTTTCCCTACCACTAAGTTTATCTGATGAGCCATACAAAGTAAAAAAAACCTTGTAACGTATAATTTCAAAACAAGAGGTACTAGTTCGTTCAGTTGTTTTGGGACATTTTCGAATTTTTGTAACAGACTATTTTACTGTTGTCAACTAATACTGCTTCATCAAAAGACCGCTTTTAGACTATTTTAAAAGTGATGGATGTGTGTTAGAAATGAAATAGTGACTAACCCAAGACATCACTCACTGGTAACGTGAAATTTTTTTTTTTGAAAGCACAAGATTAAGTATTTGGTATTACACCCCTCTGGACCAAAAAATAATTTGGTGTGATTATAAAAAATGTTATATGAAGTGACTATAGAAGAGGATTTTTAATAAATTTATTATTAACTTTGGTAAGGGATGAATGAAGGTGACTATATAGGGGTTGACTGTATTAGCAAATTTGACAGGCGCAGACAAAAATTTACGTTAAAAACTATGTTGACTCACCTCAATAGGAACTCTGACAACAACTCGAATATTGTTAAGAAAAATATTTTCAATAATATTTTTTTCTTCTTTTAATTCATTATCATTAGGGATGCTAATGGTCACGGTCATGACCGGTCATAACCGTGACTAATATCGGTCGGTCAAAGACTTCAAAGACTTCTGACCGACCGGTTGTTGAGATTGAACAACCATATGGGTTAATTGCTAGGAAAATCAGGTTCCGGGAATTTTTTAGCGAAATTGAGATTTTTATTGCATTTTAGTTTTTGGTGTTATTAGATTAAAATGTATTAAGCTCTTAATTTTAGTCAAAAATTTCTCGGAACCTGATTTTCCTAGAAACACTCCCATATTTTAAATAGTAAAATTCCTTTGTGTTAAATTAACAAAAAATCAAAACATTTTATTTTAGTTATCTATAATTAAAAATTTGAAATTTTGAAAAAAAAAAAAAATAAAGTCGGCGATAATGCTGCGCCACTAAATAATAGTTTTAAAAAATGCCATGCTAGAATAGTTAAAGCAAAGAATCAAATTATAATATTTGGCTAAATTAAAACTTTCTATTAAGCCAAAATTGCTCAATTATATTACTATTAACCGGACGGTCAACCGGACAGTTAAAATCGGTCAGTCAACAGGTCGGTCGGTCAAAGGCCATTGACCTACCCTTGACCGACCACGACCGTCCGTTACATCCCTAATTATCATTTAAAATTTTTTCTGAAATATCACTAATTGAAGTGACATTAATACCCCACAACCTAAGTTTGTCAGTATCAACCCCAGCAGTGTCATTTGGTTTTTACATTTAATAGCTCCTTTAAGGTCATCAATATCATTATTCGTTCCAATATTAACTTTGAAATCGAACTGCTTTCCTGCATAAAGCATCAAAGTTTTCCAACGATAGTTTGTACGTTTTTATTTGTATAAAAAATGGGAAATCGCGAAAGAAAATTTCTTTTTGAAAAAAAAAAATTGGGGTACTATATATATGCGAATAGAATGTCACACAAATTGATTTTTCGTAATAATAAAGAATATATATATTGTTTACGAATGATAATTGGTTAAAAAACGAAATAAAAGTTTAAAAAAAAATAGAATAAAATAATTTTTTAGCATAACAAATTAAGTTTAATTAGAATAAAGGAAAATATTTTTCAAAAGAAATCATATCAAATACCAAACAATGAAATTTCCTTTTAATGAACCGTCAAACTTTTCGATATGGTGTTGGATTGAACTATCTAAATGAATAAATTCTTTCACTTTTAGGTCTTTTTACAATACAATTATTTCTAAAATTGTAAATTCTCTGGTCATTTAATGATTTGATTCATAAATATAACAAAAAGTTCTTAATTTAAAAAAGCATATTTTTTAGTAAATAATGTTTTTTTATTGGTGTTATCAGTATGAATGATATAAAGAAAAGGAAAAAAATATTTTTTATTTTTTATTTTTATTTTTTATAAATATATTTATTATATTTATATTTATAAGAAAATATCGAAAAAAATTTTTCGTTTATAAAATCACAAACAAAAATCGATATACACTCAATAGATCAGTAAAGCTGGGTAATGTTTTAAAATGAATACTTCCGAAAAAAAAACCGGTTTTTATGGTGGATAAATTATATAAAGTTTAATTTCACCTTCAATTTACTGTACAGTCGTGTCGGAAAATGACGCGCGATTTACTGTAAATTACATAGTAAATTATATATAAAAATTTTTTTCTGGATCTTACAATTAAAATAGTCCTTGCATTTGAAATTCCCAAAGTTAAATTTTATTTTCTTTATAAATATAATAATTTTGCTAATATTTTATTTATAAAACATGACATAGATAGATATATATATATATTCCGCAATAAAATGCAAATAAAATATTCTACTTATTTATTAAAATGATTTCATTTCATCGAAAAACATTAATTTGATATTATTTTTTTTAAAAAAAAAGGAAAAAGACAAAAAATGAAAATTTTGGGATTTTCTCTATACTTCTATTTATTAAATAATAAAAAATAATAAAATTTTTTTATTAATTAATAATAAAATGGCAAATATGTCATTACTTTATTATAATAAATTTCGGTAAGGCATTACCAAATTCTTTTATTTTCTCGAATGGTAACCTCCAAACATCGAGATTCGTTATAGAGAGCTTCAACTATAGATATTTTAATTAGTAAATTAAGAATATTCTGTATTTAACAATTTAACAATTATTTATTATTATGCCTTATTCCAAATTTTCATTAATTCTTTGGTCATTCTATTCTGGATAAAAAGGGAAGATCGTGACGATAAAAGGAAAAAAAAACTAATAATTATATATTTGAAGGGACAAATTTTTCTTCATATTAGGTCATTTTTAAGTTTCAGGTTAAATTGTTTCCGATCGCAGTGATGGAATATTTTTTCGTCATTATTTTTTTTAATTAATAATTGTTTCATTTTTAATTTTTTTTTTTTTTTTTTAGACGAATTTTTTGAACTAGATACATAGGTAAGTTTCGTTTTTTTTTGATTACCTCTTTTTTTTAAATTTTTTTTTTTTTTTTTTTTGGATCGTTCGCTGCGGGCCGCAGCAATCATTAAATATTTTTTTAATTTCCGGATTCGATCGCTCAGGCTACAACAATTTAACGAATTTTTCAAAAAAATTCATGCGCACCTTTTCTTTTCTATATGCTCCTCATTGGGCTGGATCAATAAAAAGTGTTTTTATTCATTTAATTATTTTTTTAGGTAGTTTCTTTCGGGTTGGATTGCTTCAATTTGCATATTATGTAAATTATTTTTGTTTTATTTTATCTTTATCGGGTTGGATTCAAAAATATCGAGTTTCTTTATTCTTAA